CGAAAAAAAGACCGAAAACAATGGGATTATTTAATAAAAAAAAAAAAAAATTTTTTCAGTTTGGGAAAACCTAAATGGGAAAAGAATGAGAAAAAACAAATTTTTTGGTCTAAAAAAAAAAAAAAACTAAACCGAAAGAAGAAAAGGGAGAAAAAATTTTTTCAGTTTGAAAAAGGAACTTACATCATGCTAAAAAAATAACATTTCGTCATATTTTGAATAATAATGTAGAGAGCAACGTTTAATAGTAAAGATAATTATGATTTAGACAATAAGGGTGCTGTTAGATATTACCTTTTAGGTAAAGTGATATTAGGTAACATCTGACATAAAAAAAATTCCCGATTAAGGTAAGCGGAGGCCAAGCGTCAGACAAATTTTTTTAGTTATTTAGAATCATCACAAAAGGAGAGATCCACATGATTATTATAATCAGTTATACGTAAACTCAAACCCCCAACTCTTCTGTTTCAAATAACCTTTATTTATTTTTGTTCAAAGTATGAATGAATGAAACACGAATAATTCGTGTATCCAAAACCGTGAATAATCGACGGTCTGGGTACAAATATGTATTTCATACAATGAAAATCTATTTATAAATTTAGTTACTTAAAATTTTAAATAATTCAAATATAGTAAGTATCATATGTCTATCCAACATTATTTAATTAGAAGTCTTTAAATTATATTTTTAGTAGTTATTACATACATAAATTAATGACAATCTATCTATAATCCTATATCTTATATAACGATATGATGTATTTTTCCTTAAAGAATAAAAAATGGTTGGCAAATCTTATTAATAGAATAATATATGATTGCCAAGTGGAAGAAACATGACGCTGCTTACATAATTACAATTAATTAATATTAAATCCTCTTTGCGTTGTAACTCTTTTTTTTTTTTACGTCCAAAATTTACGAAAACTTCTACGAATATTACTTACTAAAAAATTAACATAACTAAATAAAAATATGATAGGCGGAAATGAATCAATAAACAATGTGTTGAATAAAAGAGACCTAAACTCTTCTATACAAGAATTTATTAGCGAAGCTCGCCATGAATTTTGTATGTATATAAAAAAAAATTTTTTTTTTTTCTAGAAAATTCCTAAATCTTTATTTCTATTGTAGATGAATTGAACCCAATATTGATAATAGCGGCAGGTGGAATTATAGCATTTCTTATTATATTCTATATCGTTGCACGATGTAAATGTCCAAAGGTACGTGCATAATCATTTCTTTTTTATATTCCTTACTTCAAAAAATAACAAAATCGTATTTAAATATTTCATCTTTAAAGGGAAGAAGTACTGTAATATTTGTAACCGCGTTAATAATATTTGATTTTTGTCTGGATGTGGCATTTTTAATAAAAAGTGTTGGGGAAGTTCCATACTTATATCTTCCAAGGTATGTCTCTTTTTTAACATTGGTCTTTCTAATAATAATAATATCACCTTCTAAAGCATTTATTTCTTATTTCAGTTTACTCATATTATTAATAGCAGCGGGATTTAATATGTTGTTTGCATTTATAATAATGATACAACAGACACTTAGCAAAAAAAATGAAGAATTTAAGGGTTGGTTACATCGACATAGTACAATGGCAGCAACATTTACCCTATTATCGGTACTTCATGTGGAAATCCTTAAGATGCTTTCGTCAAATTTGTTATATTTAGATTGCTTTAATGCTCCATTTAATAGTTTGGCAAGAAAATGGTTATTTGCTGCTGGATTATTCAATGTTTTTATTAAAGATATACCTCAATTTATTATTCTCGTAAGTAAATATTGATATTTATAATGTTTGTTCATCATTCTTTCTTTGTAAACTAATATTTTTTCATTTCGTAATTAGATACTGTACTTTAAAGGTGTAGGACCAGATTTCACTTTTATAGCTCTCTTAACTCTAATAATAAGTTTTATAATTCTATTATCAAGTGCGATAAATAGAATATATGACTTAATTTCATTTCCATCAGAAAATACATTTGCAAGATATTATCCATGAATATCGTACCACCGTTTATATAAAAAAATTTAAAATTTAGCTTCCTAACGACCTATACTTCATAAATCAAATATTTTGTTAGCGTAATTAAGTATTATAGACGAAAAACTTTTTATTTTTTTAAAAAATTTATTAAATACCTTACATTATAGTATTATAAATAACACGACTCGGAATTGGCGAAAATATTTCGAAATTTCGTTATTAATTACCGTATGAAAAATAATATTTTGAAATTAAATTATGAAAATATATATTTTCAAATAAAAAAAAATCTTTTATTCCAACCACTGCACGTGACTGTATGAATTTAATCGATGACATAATCCGCTTCGAAGAATTTTATCACGTCCTGTGCGGTGTCGCGATCTAATGAACAATCCAATAATTGAGGTAGTGTCGCTGTAGCTATATTGTATATGCTATGGAGTCCTTCTTGAAGAACATAGCAATCTATGAAACAAAAAAAAAAGAGAGAGATAAATAAAAGTAATAAACGAATTATTTAGTCCAACATACCATGTAAACGAAGTTTTTTTGATCCTCCTGTTATTTGTGTAATAAGATGAACCCATTTATTTGTAGATGCCAAACTTGTAGGGTCATTGATATTGCTTTTTTGTTCCTTAGGATTAGAATGTAGAAGAAAGTTTAATTCATAATATATTTCAAAACTAAAGTTATAATTAAAATACCATGTTTAATCGTTGAGCGATTGATGGTTGATTATCAGGAAATAATCCAGTAACAATAATATCAAATAAAGTGATAGCTTCTTGTGGATTATGAAAAGGAAGTACATCGATGGTGATACATTCAAGTAATAGTCTTTAAATAATTAAATATTAAATAGTTGACACCACGCGCAGTCGCGCAGTATACGGAACACGGTATACACTGTACCTGGCCTGGATCTCATACAACATTTGTATATTTGAAGAATCAAGATTCATCAACAAAATAACTTTAGCATGTCGTTGTTTTGATTTTTGAATTCTAATAATAAATAAATCACTTCAGTACTAAAAGCTTTAGTAACTATTATCTATAATTAATACCTATCCATCAAATTTCCAACAACTGTAATTTTCTCATTCTCAGAATTGATATGATCCCATTGCTCGTGTGAAAAACATACAAATGTAATATTAGGTTTGGGAAAAGTAATATCCTTTATATAAAGGAAATAATTTAATCAATAAATTAATAAAAATAAACTAAACAATCATATTTAAATAATTTAATACCCCGGGGGTCCCTGGTGTAGCTTCAATAACTGTAATTAAAGGTATTAAATTATTTACAATTTTAATGTCAAATCATTAAAAGTAAATGAATATAACGTACATCTAACGCGCCATTTTATTTTTTTCATTTCATCGGAAATTTTTTGCCAATTTCCTGTAAGTTCTTTATTGAAAAGAACGGCAGGTTGCATTTTTATTGGATAAATACGTTTTTTAAATAAAATAATCTTTTATTTGTTATGAATTTGAAAGAAAGAATAGAAAGTTACAATAGACTTTAAAATAAAATTCTCGGGAGTTATATCATAAATAGACTTTGATCATCCAAGTATATATAAAGTTAATTCAGAAGACTATTGAGTGTAGCTTTTTTATGTCACGGAATTTATAATAAGAACTGTTTAAAATATTGAAAACGCGTAATATATTTGCGCCTAATATTTATTATAGTTAGAAATCTGCGAGATTTTTCATTGCTAATGCAGTACTGGTTAATGAAATTTTAATCTTTTATCTTTTTAGTATATATATTTTTTTTTCGATTCTTACAAATCGGAAAATTTTTATTATACTTTTCTTTTGATTCTTATGAACCGGCCAATTTGAAAGAATTATTTTGTAAAAAGTTATAGATTTTGTAATTTTTCAATTTTATTTTTAACATTGATTTTAATTTTTATCCATAAGGCCGGGCAAAAAAAAAATTTAGATTCTCGTGACCCGGCCGGGTCAATGGAAATTTTTTTTTATAGTAAAAACTTTATCACGTGATTTTAAGTTTTTAGCCAATCGTAAAAAAATTTTACAAAAAAATTTTACATATATAAAAAAATACCAGCCGCGCCGGGTCATTTTAAAAATTTTATGTCACGAGAATCTAAAATTTTTTTTGCCTGGCCTAATGTAAAAACCTTCGCTGAAACGTTCAATATTTTTAAAGTAATTATTTATTAATCTATTCCCCTAATCGTAACAAATAATGCGTGATAGTAAATTTTATAAACATTTATTTGAAATTTAGAAGAAATTTATGATATAACTATTAAAGTTAGTAATGACTCTTACATGAAATTTTCGTGCTCTTATGATCATACTAAATTATCATTTTCCTTATTTGCGAAGAATTTTATCAACTAACGTTAATATAAATAAAGATGATGAAATTTTTCATATATATATATTAAATTATCAAATACCTAAAATGATCTTGAGGTAATAGGAAATTATCTCATGATCATTCGTTGCAAATTTTATAGATTGTTAGATATACTTGCTATTTTTGAGGATCTATTAATAAACTCGGTCAAGAAAAAGGTGTGTGTGTTAGCTTTACTCGAAAGTTCTGGCACATTTTTTATTACATAACTTTGAATTATTAATAAAAAACGCATCCCTGATTTACACTTGCGGATCGTGTTATTAGAATGAGATAAATCCTCTAGATTTTTATTTAACCTGTTGGGATTAGCGCATTCAAATTACGTGTATAGACTAATCAGTTTTTGGGATAAGATTGATCCATTTATATAGGAATTAGCAGTACGTAATCCAACACGGGTGATTTATCATCTACTGTTTTACAGATCTCGATACTGTACATAATGAACAAATAGTAGATTCTTTATTCCGATTTTTTTCCTTATTTTGCAAAATAAAATGAAATAGGGAGTAATAGCACATAGTGAATTAATGACTTTCCATTTTGGGAATGTTTGGAAAAACTGCCAAAGATGTTACCCTAGCGTATTTGATTTTCTATGTTTTCCAAGGGGTCTTAGATATAAACGACATATTTTGAGATACGCAATTGCTCTATTAGTATTAACGTAATTCATTTGACTTTTGTTAAACCGCTTAAACCGCAATTAGATAAATTTTAAAAAACGGAGATAATACAATTATATGAAATATATGAAATGTAAATATAACAACGTAATTTTTTCAGCGCTTTACGCTAAATCAAGCATAGTATTCGTTTTTTGTGCAGTACAAATTAAGTATAAAAAAATGGATCATTTTCTCTATCTAACTTCCTTTACGCAAAAATAACAATTTTTAAAAAGCTTTGCATTTTAAATAACTTGTAAAGTAACTAAGTTTATACAGTGTGTTGCAAAAAAAACCGGAATAAAGTAAACGGCCATAACTTCACATTGAGAATATAAAAACATAGTAAATTTTTTTTTATTTAAGAGCTAGAAACCAGCTCTTTCTATTAATATAATTTAATAGGAGATTCGTTCTCCATTATTTTCGATAATTAGCTCGCAACGTCGTTTCATTGAACCGGCGAGATTCTTTATCACGGTATCCGGAATTGCCGACCATTCCTCTGCCATAAAACTCTCCAATTCATTGAGATTTTTTGGCATTCGGCGCTCCACATTCCCCTTAACAATAGCCCATAAATTTTCTATCGGATTTAAGTCAGGACTATTTGAGGGCCAATCCATGACTTCCGGGACATTGTTTTGGAGGAATTCTTTAGCAAGACGGCTAGTATGCTTCGGGTCATTGTCTTGCTGGAGCCGCCAATCATCACCGAGCATTGCATCAATCTCCGGAATATGATTTTCAAGGATCTCAACATAAAATTCAGCATTCATTATTCGACGGAAGCAAAACAAACTTGTTTTGCCCGTTACGCAAAATCCGCCCCATGCAAAAATCTTTGTTCTGTCTTTTGGCATGGGGCGTATTGGCAGAATTTTCTTATGCCAACGCTTCACAGTGTTCAGGAAGAGTTGGAAGGCAGTTTCATCCGAAAAAAGTGTTGTGTTCCAATTATCATTAATGTGCTGCTGCGCCCATTCGATACGTTTTTGCTTATGCGCAGCAGTAAGCATTGGGGTCGCCCTTGGAAGTGATTTTTTATAGCCATGGACAGTTAAGTGCCTTGAAACTGTCGAGTGGGATACTTCAAGGCCCATTTGGCCCAATTTTTTGGCCAAAGTCCTCGTTGGAACTGATGTATCTCTTCGGATACTTTGTCCAAGGGACCTGGAAAATTTGCCGGTAATTTTCCTTGGGCGACCACTTCCCTTTTTTCGGTTTACTATGTTATCCTCTTTTAACTTTTTAATATTATCATATATAGTGGAGAGTGGGATGCGTGTAATCTTGTGTATTTCAGTCCCTTTACGCATACCCTCACTCCACAATTGTAAAATTGTTTGTCGCTGCCTTTCTTTCTTTGAAACTGTCATTTTGCGGTGCAGTAGCTCGGAAAAACATAAATATATTATTTACGAATTAGGTCGGGATTTATGGTCATGATCGTCATGTCGATTTTCCATTTTAGATTTTCCAAATCGGATACAAATTGGGTACGTAAGTCCGATTTATGTCATGTGAATAAAATTCCGGTTTTTTTTGCAACACACTGTATATCATGTATTAAGAAAATTTTATCTGAATTATGATTTTACTACGTGACAACAATAAGGTTTGATGATTGACACATTTCCAGATGTATAATTTGTTTATCATATATATTGTAATGCTGGAATTATCTAGTGAATTTATTAATTGTAGGCGCAGTATTATATTTAAATTAAGTATAAATTTTTGTGTTTTAAATGTGTAACGTCTGAGATGACGTTAGACTATGCAGATCTTTTTCTATTGGTTCTAAATTATTAAAAGTTATTTGTGTAAAATTATTTATTTGTTTATATAGTATTATAGTAGGGATTAACAGAAAGTGAGTCAGTGGAATAAAGAACGAGTAAAGAAAATTAATTACGTTTCACACAAAACTCTATTTCCGATTCTTTTTGCCTTATTCTTATGATGAAAAAGTACCCCATTAATTATTTTAATTAATGATTCATAGATTAGTTATCATGAGGGAAAACTATCGCACTTTTAGTCTAGAATTGTGAAATTACCTTTTCCATATTTGAAATTAGAAAATTTAAATCAGTTTATCACTCTAGGTTCATAGATAATTTTTTCTTTTTCAATTATATGTTGATCGTTTTTCTGATTAAATATTAATAAGAGAAATTGTCGTAAATTTTAGAAATTACCTTTTGTATACATTGGAACTTAGAATTTAATTTATCGAACTTATATTTAGCATGTGTGGAACTCGGGATATATTAATATTTTGTTTAATAAATAAAAGAATATTTTCATAACTTGTGGTGGTAAACGTGTAGCTACACGCGCACAAGTTCTTACATATGCAGTGTGATTAACATTTTTGCATATTAATACATTTTGCATAAATATTATTACCATATTTATTTATACTAATAAAGAAGTTTAATGATAATAATAAAAAAAGGAAAAAAAAGATATTTATTTTATCTTTTCCAATTAGAGAAAATTTTAATATAGTAATGGGTCAATGTATTTGTAAAGGTAAAGCTATATACTGTATATAGAATAAATATATAATGTAAATTAGAATTATTCAAAATTTTTAAAATAAACTTGCAATATAATAAAACTAGTTTTGCATAATATCAAGGAATCTGAAGGTAAATATAATATACAAAACAAAGATAAAATATTAAGAAATAATCAAATATAATTAAACCAAAATTTGCAATTTAACAATACTAGTTACCAGTAATATTGAAGGATTTGAAGAAAGTGGTACTAGAAAATTTGAGGGAAGTGGTGCTGAAGAATTTGAAAGAAGTAGTATTGAGGAATTTGGAGGAAGTGATACCAAAGAATCTAAAGGTATATCAAACAAGCTGAAATATTAAATTTTTATTTATAAACAATCCAAATACTATCTATAATTATACCTTATATATATAATATGCAAATGTAATTTAGACTAACTATATTATATAAAAATTATATCAAATATTTAGCTCGTAAGTTAATATAATTGAATAATAATGAATTACTCATTATTTTTATTGTATTCCATATAACTAAATAATTTATTTAATAATTAATAATACTATAGTTGTTGGTAAGTTATCAGTTATTTAGATCTTTAATTCTTTGCTTTATTTATTTACATAACATTAAATAACTAAATTCTTTATTTAAATAACTATTTAATAATTAATTATATTACAGCAGATGGTAAGTTACAATAAATTTATTATATTTATTTGTTTAATATTTTATGTAATTCAACTAATCATATTCTTAATTTAAATAACTAGATTGTAAGTAATATATATAACTTACAGTAAATACTTTTATATTATATTTATATCTAACTAATTAATAATTAATATAGGGTGTAAGTCATATGGTATTATGGTATTTATATTTCTATTATTTATACAACTTAAACTAATTAATTTCTTTATTTAAAAAATTATTAAATAATATATAGGGAGTAAGTTATTTATCTAATTTTATTATTACTTTTTATATAATATTCACATATAATCTAAAGTTTAAACTAACTAATTTCTTTATTTAAAAAAATTATTAAATAATATAGGAAGTAAGTTATTTACTTAGTTCAATTATTACTTATGTGTATAATATTTACATATAATTATTTAAAAACTTATTAAATAATATAGGAAGTAAGTGATTTATTTAATTCTATTATTACTTATTTATATAATGTTCAGTTTACATGTAATTTAAACTAACTAATTAAATATTATAGGGAGTAAGTTATTTATTTAAATTTATTTATATAATATTAACATATAATTTAAACTAGCTAATTTTTTATTTAATAGATCGTAAGTTATAAGTTATTTATTTAATTCTATCATTACTTTATTTATATAATATTTACAAATAATTTAAACTGATTAATTTCTTTATTTAAAAAATTATTTTAATTTGTTTTAGTTGGTAAGTCATGAGTTATTTATTTAATTCTATTATTCTTATTTATATAAATATAATTTAAATTAATTATATTTATTTAATTTTATTACTAACTAATTTCTTAATTTAAAAATTATTAAATAATATAGGAAGTAAGTTTATTTATATAATATTTACATATAATTTAAACTAATTAATTTCTTTATTTAAAAATTATTTTGTAATTTATTTTAGTTGGTAAGTCATGAAATTCTATTATTACTTATTTATATAACATTTATATATAATTTAAACTAACTAATTTTTATTTAATAGGTCGTAAGTTATAAATTATTTATTTGATTCTATTATTATTTATGTATATAATATTTACATATAATTTAAACTAACTAATTTTTTTATTTAATAGATCGTAAGTTATAAGCCATTTATTTGATTCTATTATTATTTATTTATATATAATTTAAAGGGTTTTGTTTTTTATCGGCATGGCGATGCATCGCCAGTGTCACGTGATTTTATAATTCCGGCCGGAATTAAAAGATCGTTAAAGAAATTTCCTTTTTTGGAAGTTTTGTATAACAAAACTTGAATTTTGCTGAAAAATAAAATTGCCTTTTTTGGATTGTGTAACGTTACCTAAATCTCCAAAAAAGGAGGTTTTGGCCAGCGTTATAAAATTTGGCCGAAATTAAGCATGTGATGTATAGGGAGTGACAAATAGTATTTTTTGCACTGAAAAAATTGTAAGTCCCCAGAATAAGTAATAAAAATGGAAAACTAGAGGATGTGACGCGGGGTGACAAATTATTCACATATGTAAAGTCACGTGACACTTGCGACACATCGCTATGGCGATTTTTTATAAAATCCTAATTTAAAATAACTAATTTCTTTATTTGAAAAATTATTAAATAATATAGGAAGTAAGTTATTTATTTAATTTATTATTACTTATTTATATAATATTTGTAAACTAACTACTTTATTTAATAGATCGTAAGTTATAAGTTATTTATTTAATTCTATTATTATTCATTTATATAATATTTATATATAATTTAAACTAACTAATTTCTTTATTTAAAAAATTATTTTTAGTTGGTAGGTCATAAGTTATTTATTTAATTATTATTACTTATTTATATAACATTTACATATAATTTAAGCTAATTTCTTTATTTAAAAATTATTAAATAATATAGGGTGTAAATTATTTATTTAATTCTTATTTATATTATTATTTACATATAATTTAAGCTAACTAATTTCTATATTTAAAAAATTATTTTGTAATTATTTAGTTGGTAAGTAATAAGTTATTTGCTTAATTCTATTATTACTTATTTATATAATATTTACTTATAATTACTTTATATTTTGTAATTTATTTTAGTTGGTAAGTCATAAGTTATTTATTTAATCCTATTATTATAATATTTACATATAATTTAAACTTACTAATTTCTTTATTTAAAAAATATAGGGAGTAAGTTATTTATTTAATTTTATTATATAATATTTACATATAATCTAAACTAATTTCTTTATTTAATAATAGATCGTAAGTTATAAGTTATTTATTCAATTACTCATTTATATAATCTTTACATATAACTTAAACTAACTAATTTTTTTATTTAAAAAATTATCTAATAATATAGGGAGTAAGTTATTTATTTAATTCTACTATTATTTAGTATTTATATTACATATAACTTAAACTAACTAATTATTTTATTTAAAAATTATTTCGTAAATTTATTTTAGTTGGTAAGTCATAAGTTATTTATTTAATTCTATTATTACTTATTTATATAATATTTATATATAAGTTAGACTAATTAATTTCTTTATTTAATAGATCATAAGCATAAGTTATTTAATTCTATTATTACTTATTTATATAATATTTACATATAATTTAAACTAACTAATTTCTCTATTTAAAAATTATTTTGTAATTTATTTTAGTTGGTAAGTCATTTATATAATATTTACATATAATTTAAACTAACTAATTTCTCTATTTAAAAATTATTTTGTAATTTATTTTAGTTGGTAAGTCATAAGTTATTTATTTAATTCTATTATTACTATTTATATAATGATCTTTACTTCAAATCACCGGGGGTGATCATCACCGTTGGCCCTGTCTCTTATACACATCTAGATGTGTATAAGAGACAGGTCATAAGTTATTTATTTAATTCTATTATTACTATTTATATAATGATCTTTACTTCAAATCACCGGGGGTGATCATCACCGTTGGCCAGAATTATCAATTTTTACTGGCACTATATTTTTTTAATGCTGGTCGATCATCATAATTTCAGTCACCAGTGATCATCACCTCCGGTGATAGTTAGAAAATTTCTTATATAATATTCATATAAATTGAACTAACTAATTTTTTTATTTGAAAATTATTAATAATATAGGAAGTAAGTTTATTCATTTAATTCTATTTGTTTATAGAATATTTATGTATAATTTAAACTAATTAATTTCTTTATTTAAAAAATTATTTTGTTTTAGTTGGTAAGTCATACAGTATTTATTTAATTCTATTTATATAATATTTATATATAATTTGAACTATCTAATTTCTTTATTTAAAAAATTTTAAATAATATAGGGTGTAAGTCATTTATTTAATTATATTATTATTTATTTATATAATATTTACATATATCTAATAATTTCTTTATTTAATAGATCGTAAGTTATTTATGAGTTATTTATATAATATTTACATATAATTTAAACTTACTAACTTCTTTATTTAAAAATTATTTTGTAATTTATTTTAGTTGGTAAGTCATAAGTTATTTATTTAATTTTATTATTACTTGTTTATATAAAATTTACATATAATTTAAACTTACTAATTTCTTTATTTTAAAAAAAATTATTAAATAATATAGGGCGTAAGTTATTTATTTAATTCTATGATTACTTTATTTATATAATATTTACATATAATTTAAACTAACTAATTTCTTTATTTAATAGATCGTAAGTTATAAGTTATTTATTTAATTCTATTATTACTTATTTATATAATATTTATATATAATTTAAACTAACTAAATTTTTTATTTAATAGATCGTTGAGTTATAAGTTATTTTATTTATATAATATATACATATAATTTAAACTAACTAATTTCTATATTTAAAAAATTATCAAATAATATAGGAAGTAAGTTATTTATTTAATTCTATTATTACTTATATATATAATATTTACATATAATTTAAACTAACTAATTTCTTTATATAAACAACTATCTATGATATAGCTTGTAAGATATTTATATTTTTATTGTCATATATTTTTTATAATATTTATTTGTTAACTGAATTCTTTCATTTAAAAAATATCTGTTGCTTTAGTTGGTAAGTTGTAAATTATAGGTTATTATATTTATCTAGAAACTAAGATTTATATTACATCAAATTCTTTATTTAAATTTTAGAGTAAGTAATAATTTATTTTAGTGTAATTATAATACAAGCTATAATATAATTTCAACTATTTAAATTTATAGATTTGGAAAAAGTAAAAATGCAATTATAAATGATTTTGTTCTTAAAAATGGATTAAAATGGATTCCTTATAACAAATTTAAAAATGTTGAATATCTTAATGAAGGAGGATTTGGTACTATATATAAAGCTACTTGGTTAAAGAATAATAATGATGAAGAAGTAATTCTTAAATGTCATAAGGACTTAAATGAAAATTTAAATGAATTTTTAAAAGAAGTATGATATTATATTATTTTTTATTTTTTAATTTAAGATTTATTTATATTAATCAATTATTGTTATTTTTTATAGTGGAAATATCATACAAGTGTTTTAAGTTCGAATGATATTATATATTTTTATGGATTTACAGAAGATCCAAATACTTCAAAATATATGGTAGTAATGGATTATGCAAATAAAGGTAATTTAAGAGAAAATTTAACAAGAATAGTTGAAAATAATTGGAATCAAAAATTATATATGTTGTACGAAATTATTTCTGGGCTTAATAAGATACATGCAAAAAATCTTATTCATTGTGATTTTCATGATGGCAATATTTTAAATCATAATGATAAGAATAAGGATAAATTTTATATTAGTGATTTAGGATTATGTCAACCTGCAAAATCGTTTTTGAAAAAGTATGATATTTATGGTGTTATACCATTTATGGCTCCTGAAGTTTTAAGAGGAAAATCTTATACTCCAGCTAGTGATTTATATAGTTTTTCTATGATTATGTGGGAACTTACATCTGGAGTACCACCATTTAATAATAGAGCACATGATATTCAACTTAGTTTAAGTATTTGTAAAGGTGAACGTCCTGAAATTATTGAAAATACTCCACAATGTTATGTAGATTTAATGAAAAAATGTTGGAATGAAGATCCACTAAAAAGACCATCTTCTAAAGAAGTATTAAAAATTATTGAAAAATGGATTTTCCGTTCTTATGAAGTCAGTGAAGAATTAAAAAGCAACATTATAGAATTTATAAATGCACCAATTGGACATAACAATCTTACTACTAAAACACATCCTAAAGCATGTTATACAAGCCGCTTACTTGATTTTACTAGTAAAAAATTGAATGAAATTCTTGATAGTGAAGATTCACAAGCATATAATACAAGTCATTCAGATTTGAATGATTGTATAATTAGAGATTCAAGGTCATTAAGTATGTACTATAATTTATATGATAAAAAATTAATCTTGCAAATTATTTATATGAAATTAATTTATTTATTAATTATTTAGATGAAAATACTAGTAAAAGTTGAATGAAATTCTTTGAAAGTGAAGGTTACAAGCTAATGTAAAAGCAAATGTGATTTGAATGATTATATAATTAAAGATTTGGGATCATTAGGTATGTGCTCTGATATGCTATGATATGTAAAAAAATTAATCTTGCAAATTAATTAACTTTATTTATTTAATTACTACTTATATATTAAAATAAATGATTGTTTATGTTTTAAAAAGAGATTTATAATTTTCAAGTGATATTTAATATTATATATTCAACAGAAATTGGTCTTTATTTTATTCTTTTTGGATTTATTTAAACACTAAGATTAGAGTACTAGTAAAATATTTTACAAGATTCTTAGTTTGTAATTTGAATAATTCCTTTTTTCGTTTTATATTTATTTATCCAAATATTAAACATTGTATTCTTTTTTAAGAATTATTTAAACATTAAAACTAGCCCTATAAAAATGAAATGTGTTAAACTCATTTTATATTTGTGTTTATGTGTAAAAAAATGTCTAAAAAAGCACCATTTTATCTGGTTTATGTCTTATTACAAAAAAAAACAAAAATTAAACCAGGCTTTTATTTTATCACAATGTCAATCACTTTACTTATCATTTGTACATTTAATAAAATAAATAAAATAAAAAAAAAGAAGTGACATATAATAAAAATTAGACCTCGTAATTTTGCATAATTTTCAATTAGGTAATAGTTAAATAGTTTATCATAGTGATGTGCATTTTTGCTGGCTAAATTTTGAAATGTTACACAAACTTTAAAACATGATATCGCTCCCTTTTAAATTAAATAGAGCCACAAAGAATTTAATAGTGCAAACGGCATGCATATTTCAACATTTCAGACTCTTCTTAACAATTTGCAGAATAATTTGAATATTGGGGAGGTAATTCAGAAGTTATGAATATAATAAAATTCTTTATAAAATGATAATATATTTAATTTATAGTTATTTTTATTTATTTGGTATTATTTCACTTAATACAACAGGTTTTTTTTTGTTTTTTAAAAGTTTTTTTTTTTTCATAACAATTAGCAATAAATAAAAAGAAAAAGCCAAATGTATTGACCAATATTTTCTAATAAGATAAAAGGTAAGTTTCTCAATATATAAAATCCAAAGATTTTTCTTTCTTTAATGAACTAACATATATATCATATTTAAAAATAATATCACTAAACATCGAAAAAGCCGTAGGACATAGTTTTATAGTCTTGACCCAAACCAACTATATTTTTTTGGTTAAAAAAAAAATTCAAAAATTTTGATAAATTCCGATTAACAAAAAATCCCCTAAAAAAATCCAATAAAAATAAAACAAAGGGATAAAAAAATTAATAAAAAAAAAGACTAATAAGGTAGTTTCGGTTTTTATGATAAAAACTGAAAAATAAAAAAAATTATTATAAATGGTTCGTGGTAACTAGAGAGCGGAAATGGCCGCACTTAAATTTTAGATCGAGTTCTTTCTGTTATTCTTTCTTTATACTAGCACAAATTACCTAATATTTGTGCCGTGTTTCTTATTATATACATCTTGATATAATTTATAATTCTTAACGAAAAGTTGGTTATTGTGTGCAATAAATATTATAGTTTTATCTATAATCGTTATTCTGTGACTTTTAATTCAGCAGGAAACTTCTATAATACAAAAAAAGATCTTATTCTGAAAAATAATTAAACATGATATTAGCAATAAATATACTAATAGTTAAACTTATCATAAAAAAAATTGTGCACAGATGTCAAATATAAAATCACCTACAAAAGTGTATACCTACAGTTCACGACATAAATATTCGGAATTTTATCACAATATGTAAAAATATAATAAAGTTTATTTTTTTCATTTCAAATTTATTGTATTTATAGTTTAAAATGCGCAGATAAACATACGTCAAAAATCAGTAATTTATCGTGTAACCATTTTTTTCTATGACCATGTTAATCCGATCTGACATGCTATCTGCTAAATTAAAGAAAACGTTTTGATCAATGTTATCCCATTCCTGCTGAATTATGCCCTGAAAATCATCTCCACTAAGTGATTTTTTTTTCATAATCCAATTATTGACCCTTTTTTCTACATTCCCTTTGAGAATCGCCCATAGATTCTCGATAGGATTCAGGTCAGGTGAGTTAGCAGGCCAATCAATAACTGAAACATCGTTAATCACAAAAAATTGATGGGTAAGCTTTGCAGTGTGTGTAGGTGCGTTGTCTTGCTGAAATTTCCATCCATAACCAGCATGATAAGCATTAGGAAGTAGTTGGGATTGAAGAATTTCACGGTATTTTGCAGAATTCATGTTTCCTGTAAAAAGTGCAACTCCAATTGGTCCCTGACGGCAAAATGCACCCCAAACATGCACTTTGTATGGATGCTTTACCATAGGATGTGATGGACGTGGATTGCCAGCCTTGTAATGCACAATTTGAGTATTACGGAATGTCTGAAATGTACTTTCATCTGAAAAAATTGTGTGAGACCAGTCATCTTGGGTATGGTTTAAGGCCCATTGAAGACGAGTTTCAACATGACTTGCCTTAAGAAGGGGAACTGATCGTGGCCTACAAACAATATAATTAAGTTTATTTTTGAGAGTACGTTGAACAGTTCGGGTTGATACATTAAGGTCTGGATATAAATTATTCAGCTTTGTAGTCATTAGAGCTGAAGTTGTAGCATTATCATTTTTAAGAAGACGGCCAAGATATCGACGTTTTTTGGGAGAAAGAACAAGAGGACGACCAGGAATGGGTAAGTGCTTAACACTTCCTGTTTTTTTTAGACGGTTGACAATATCATATACTGTAGACTTAGGAAAACCAGTTATTTTAATTATTTCGGAGGGTTTTCGTATGTTATTGTCCCATAATTCCTTTATGGTTAACCGTTGCATTTCAAATTCCGAAGTGGGCGCCATGAATTTGTTTTGCCACTAATAAAACAATCAGGTGAGAATTTTTGTGTTTATATATATATTCTAAAGGGGCTGGTGAATTTCCATTTTAGTTATTATTTTGATTGCACAAGACCTGGTGTGACAGCGCCCCTTTATGCACAAAATCAAAAATTCCGGATATTTATGTCGTGAACTGTAATAATAATTACTAAGTAATGCCCTTAATTGGAACCAATAACATATCCACCTGACATAAAATCCCATGTTGTCGATCAACTTAGTGTTATACAAAAAGGAACTAATAAAGGATCTACATCTTAATTATTTTGTATTACATGCTTGTATTACTATAACATGAACATATTTGACTAGACATGGCAAACGGACTAAAATAATTTTTTTTTTTTTTTTTTTTTGAAAAAAAAAATGAGTTGCAATAATGAGGACGAAATACAAATAGAAATTCAATTATTAATCATGAAAATTGTTATCGACCAAATGATGACAAATTATGGTGTAAAGAATGTGTTCCTCGTTGTATAATTGAAGGATGGACCAGTGGGAATAATGGTATTGATGAATTTATCAAGGATACAATTTATAATGCAAAATATTCTGATGATTATGAGGATGATAATTATCCATATATTCCATTATTTCTTGAATGGGTACCATTTGATAGATTTAAAGATGTAAAACAAATTGGTGAAGGGGGATTTGCCAAAGTTTACTCTGCAACATGGATTGATGGTAAAGCAGATTATAAAAGACAAAATGATAAAAGTTGGAAAAAAGAAGAACATAAACCTATAAAAGTAGCTTTGAAAAAATTAAATGATTCACAAAATATTTCTGCTAATTATTTAAATGAGGTATATTTACATTTTCTATTGTTGATTAATTTTCAAAATATAAAGATTTATTCATGATACTTTTAAATTTTTGTAGATTAAAACACTTTGGAATATTTATTCTAATGATAATCATAATTATTTAAAATTTTATGGAATAACTAAAGATACAAAAACTGGGGAATTTATGATGATTATACAATTAGCAGTTCGAGGAAATTTGAGAAGTATTCTTTCAAGTAATTTTAATAATATTTTTTGGAATGAAAAATTGGAAATATTATCTGATATAATAATATTTTTTGGAATGAAAAATTGGAAATATTATCTGATATAGTACATGACCTTAAAAATTTACATAAATTGGGATATTTTCATAAAGATTTTCATAGTGGAAATATTTTACAGAATAGTGCCAAAAATACTATTAATACTTGTGTATCAGATTTTGGATTATCAGGGCAATCAAATAAACAAAAATCAGATAATAAAATATGTGGAGTATTACCATACATTGCTCCAGAAGTTTTGAATGGAGAACCATATACATTATCGTCTGATGTCTATAGTTTTGGTGTAATTATGACAGAATTAACATCTGGAAAACCTCCTTTTTATAATAGAAAACATGAAATTAGCTTAGTATTAGAAATTTGCAATGGAATCAGACCTGAATTTGAAAAGGGAACTCCTGAATTTTATAAAAAATTAGCTTATAGATGTATGAGTGCTGTTCCAAATCAAAGACCAACAGCAAATGAATTATATGACATATTATTATTTTGGCATGATGCTTCTAATGGTTTTTATCAAGATGAAGAAAAATTTGGCTATAAAGGAAAAGAAATTAAAACTTAATTTGATGAAGCTGATAAGGAGATACCAAATATTTCAACTTCATATGAAAAAATTCCTGATGCAATATACACTAGTAGGGTATTCACATTTAGTAATTTGCCAAAGCCTGTTAATTCATCTATAATTACTTCATATCTTGAAGATGAAGAAGATAATAAAGGTATTAATTATTTTTTTATGATTATTGCACGCATTATATGTTTAATTCCATGATTACTAACTTTTTATCATTTAATAGATTGTCAATTCTAAATTATTTGATTTAGAGGTTTCTAATTAATTATATTAGGACGAGAAAAAATATTTATTATGTTTGCTACGTATAATTATATATTCAATTATTATTGAATTTTTGCTCATTTAATGAAAGCAATCATTTCAATAAAGTATTTTAAATTTTCATTTATTATTATTATTTCTTATAACAATTTCTGATAGCTAGTCTACATGTAGCATTGAAATTTAGATATACTATATTTGGGCATGAGCGTTTAATTCCCATCTATGTCTCCATCCGATAGTTCATAGTGAGAGAATGGGAAGGTGAGATTTTTTACATTTACCCCGTGAAATAGTTTTAAATCTCGGTAAGGGATAGAGAGATTTATTTATTACTAATAAATATAGAATCGACTCTAATAGTTCTGATAAATTAAAAATGCTTGAATGTGCCATAAATATACATATTATATGCTTAATCTTCAAACGAAAAAATCTTCTCAGCTGGTGATCACTGCTCCAGGATTGGAAATGTCGGACTTGATGTAATAAGCAACGCATAATAAAAAATTATTGAATTACGTATATCTCTTTAAAAAATGGTGCTCATACTACCTGAACTACAAAATAAGATTTTTAATTTCTTAGATAAAGATGATGCACTATATCTCATGTTGTAGACTCACCATTTATACCCTTGCAGATTCATGCCCAAATCTGAAAACTTTAAAACTCAATTACTGCGATGAAATAAGCTATATGGGCATCAGAAAAATTGCGCAGTTCTATTTTTGGAATAGCTCGATGTTCAGGGTTTGAAAACTTTAGTGATGAATACACCTGACACGATTTCTTTTTTGTATTTGACAGGCAACTGAATAGGCGCAGAAAGAAAGTCCCTCAATACCCTAACAGGTAACCAAAAAGGGCTAGAATTAGGTAAACACATGTACAACTTCTTAATAATCAAAAGGCTAAAAAAACAACACAAACGCACAGATAGCTCTTTAATACGGTATATTTTAATTTTCTTAAGATTTTGATGTAAATTAATTATTTGCAATATATGGTTATTAATTACCATATTTTCTTTATAATAATCGATGTTATAAAGTTTCAAATTTCCAATATAGTGAATAAAATTTTGATTTTGTAAAATTAACTCAAGAGTATTTTTATAAAATCATAATGTCGAGTACCCATCTCAATTTCAAGAGTACGTAAATTTATCCCATTTTCAATAAAAATTTTAAATAGTGACATATGAAATAATCCCCTAAAATTTTGTTCAAAATCATCTGTTCTGTACCAGAAAGTTATTATTTTTTTTCAGTATCAGATTCTCATAACTCCTTGAAGTTGTGTGCAAATAATAAATAAAACAGAAACAATTTCAAATTTATTTGCTACACCAATAATTGATAATATCTTAAAAAAAAATTTTTATTTATTGATTTAATGTTCATAAAATAGCCAAAATGTGTTTACTTACGGATTGACGGATCGTAACACTAAATTCAGGAAATCATACTGTATAGTGCTCAACCCTGTACATAATACCCACATAATACCCATGAATTTTTTTTTTTAATACTAATAATAAATACATAATTATCAGATTTAAGCTAAGAAATTATTTAATATTCCTTGTAATATTTTAAATATTTCATTAAAAGGTTTAATAACTACTCGCGTGTTTCTTTAATTATTTTACTAATTATTTTTGGTTACTTGAAACACTTCATAATTTTCTACAATAAAATGTGCTGGGATTCCTATTTTTGGATAACGGTCTCCATTATCATAACTATTATAAAGCCAATTATCGTTTATACAGTTTAAATTACCCATAGAAGGTCCATGAGCACGAGAACAATAAATAGCACATGACGTCATATTTACATAACTTAATTTTGCAGTTGAAATATTTTTTCCATCTGTAGTACTGAATAAAAAGCTATTTACTGTAGCTTTATAACCACTATCCCCGCTCCAATCAAGTGGATTATACCCTCCAACTAATTGCGTTGAATCTTTAATTTTTGCTACCCAAATAGTAGCGCCTTTATTATCACAATTGGTATGAAATGAATTAGAATCAATTCCATCCCGACTTGAACGATATAATAATTTAAAATCATAAGGAACATTTTTTTTATCATAATGTGAAGAATCTTTTTTATCAATCCATGAAGTAAGAAGAAGAATACTATCTGGTTCAATTAAGATTGAATCAAGATGATATTTTAAATCTTGTTTTCTTGAAAAAGGAAGATTAGTTTTTTGTTTCATGTTAGGTACTATATGAAATTCCAAAAGACCATGAATCAAATCTTGTGGCAAGATATCTTTATAACAATAAACCTTATAAAAGAAATCTGCAGGTTCAATATTATAGAATTGAATTAAAGGAATAAATCTGTGTAATTCTTCCTTAATCTTTATAATATTTTCTTCACTCCATTTTGTTGGATCATTATTCACATTCACATTTTGTTGAGAAAAACACCATATTAATAACTTTTCCCAAATTTTGATTTCATTCATATTTAAGTCATCTCTTTTTAGTAATAATTCCAATAAAGAAGCTTTTAAATTAATGAATTTATCGGAATTAAATAAGATCGTTGGTTTTTCACAAATATTTTCAAGACAAAAATCCCATAAATCAACAAATGTTTCATGCTGATATACTGTTTCAAGAATTCCAGTTGGATTTTGATGCAAAAATTCGGTTCGATTCTCAATTAAATATTCTTGAATATGAGTAATCAATGAACCAATATTTAGTTCATCCACTGCTATCAATAATTTTAATACATCGGGACCTTGTAAATTTTTCAATTCAATATTTCCACAATAAATAAATCTAAAAATAAAATAATTATTATTTAGATATAACAATGAATATAAATAAAAAAAATTAATGAATTTATAAAATTACCTAAGAATTATATTAAATAATTGTGGTGAAATATTTGGTTTTTTGAAGATAAATTTTCCATCTATTTTTTCAGTCCACTCATTAGAAAATGCAGAGCGAAAATATTGTGATCTAATACATAAAATATTTGAATGAACATGAAATTCTTTAGCATTTGGCTCTTCTCCGGAATAAATAACAACGTCATATCCTAATTCTGTCTCAAAAAGTTTTTCGTAATCATTAGATAATTCTTTCAAAAATGTTGTAGACATGTTTGGTGCAAGTAATAAGATAAAGTTGACCGATAAATTTTAAAAGTTTGAAAGCTAATAAATTCTCGATGATCGTTGAAAATAATCTTCAATAAAAGAAATTATTATAGAAAACACCATGATGATCTGATCACATGCTGACGCCAAAGGTTTATCAAAGTTCAACTATCTATGAAAATCATTGATTATGTTAGATAAAGGATTTAAATATTTTTACAAACTAATTTATTAATGAAGATGAGAAACTATTGTTTTTTTTAATACAGTAATCACAAATCGTAATTCCGAAAACCAATATCCATGAATACAAAAATTTTAAAATCTATATAATTAAAAAAATGGTGCTTGTGTGACTAACGTTTAGATTAGCCTGTATAAATTAATTTTGCCGTATCCTTTATAGTTAAGACCCGCAAGTCATGTTGTACATCTAATCCAGTTCCGGTTAATGAAATTTAATCGGAATTTTATTTTTCAACCGATCTAAATCCCATTTTTTTTTTCTTGAACCGATCTTTTATAAATGGTTCTTTCTTTTTTTTCAAATTTCCTCTTTTCTCTTTCAAACACCTTTTTCTTTTCTTTTTTTTAAAAATTTTTTGTTTTTTTCCTCTTTCTTTTTTTTTTATTCTTTTCCCATTTAGATTTGGTTTTTTTCTAAAGCTGAAGAATTATTATTATTTTTTTTTATTAAATAATCTTTTAAGACTTATGAGTATTATTTTTTTTTTTGGTCTTTTTTTTTAGACATTATTATTAATTTTTTTTTTGAATTTTTTTTTCGGTCTTTTTGGACTGAATTTTTTTTAAAACCAATTTCTTTCTTTATCCTTTTCTTTTTCTTTCGAATTTTTTTTTTTTTTTTCTTTCTTTTGGCTTTTCGGTTTCTTTTTTCAAAACAATTTTTCTCTTTATTTCTCCCCACAATTTTTTTTTTTCGTTCGAATTTTTTAGTTTTTTTCCGGTTAGCTCTTTTTCCAATCCGAAAATTTTTTCCCTTTTCCTTTCTCGGTTTGGCTTTTTTTCTTTCAAACAGATTTTTTTTTCCTGAATACATTCTTTCACCATTTAGGTTTGGATCAGTGATCAGATCGATATTGCGGCGCCACAGCAATTGCCTTTTTCCCGATTCTTATTATTATTAATAATAATAATATTTTTTTGCATCAAACTCAATAATAGACTAATAAATTAATTTTTTTTAGAGGATGTTATTTTTTTTTAATGCTACAAAGATAAAAAAAGATGTTTTTTGTAACAATGTAAGAATAAACTACTTATACAAAATTGTTTTCAGTACTGTACATTTGTTTCGTGTAATAAATAAAATTTGTATTTAATAATAATATTTCATATGCTGTATATTGTTATTTGTATAATCATATAAATTGTGTAATTTATTACATTTATTTCCTACTAATGCCATCATAATAATAGTAAAAACTAGACCTATTCACACAATGGCAAATGTGTTATTATTACTCTCTTACTTGATGGGCAAGTATCATCCCCGGAGGTCCCTGTGACCGAGATATCATTTTGACGTTTTTTGATCATGCATTAATTAATAGCATCATAAATAAGTTTTATTTAACTATTCCACTTTATAAGCTTTATTTAAATTTTTCCTACAAAAAATTCATTTACACCATATTTTTTTACTCCGCTTTATTATATCAATCATGTGTTATTGCTATGCCTAATAAAAATATCGGTCTATGAAAATCTGCATGATCCTATTGGGGTGAACGATAACATTAATAATAATCCATTAAAATGTTTCGCAAGAATTAATTTCTTTATTGTATGTAAAAATTAATATTTTTTGTATTTTTGTTAAAATTAAATAACAATTTAAATTATTTTTATAATATTTAATAAATACTTCGCAAAATTTAAAAATTACATATTAATACAAAATTATTACGTTTAAAAAAAATGGGGTAAATTTTTGGGATTATGAATTATGATTTGTCTGTATATTACAAAATATTTTGATCATATTCTTTTTATTGTTAACTTCATCGTTTCTCTATTGACCTAGGACGATTTTATTCCATCATCTCGTTACCGTTTATGATATTTGGTGCAAATCTAATAGTGTGATTATCTATAATAGTGTTTATTATCGGTCAATAGTATATACTGGTTGTGATTAATTTTGATTTTGACCAAGGAACTAGCAACGTTTAAATTCTCGTTGATTTGGGATATATGATAAATATTTTTGATTTACTGATCGATGCTTTAAGTATTTGCATAAGGTTTAAGAGTGTGTTGTTATGCAAAAATAATTTGTTTTGTACGTTGTTCGAAAGATTGCATAAAAATGTTTGCGTTAAGGAGTATTTTAAGATGCATTAAGGCTAATTTTTAATAAATTAATATCGACACGATCATTACGCTTTGCTCAAGTCCATAAAGTTATTATTAAAGCGAGCGGATTTTATAACGTGTTGAGTAGTGCTTCGATCCATGTACGAATTGATCCGGATTGATCCGGATTAAATCAAAAATCCGGATGAAATCCACGGTTTGAACCGGGTTTCGTCGGATCCATCCGGATTGCCAGTTTTCGGATAACTTAAAATATTTCTGAAACACCTGATCAGAATTTAACAATTTAAGGCATGTTTGACGTTGCGCATCTAATGGTAGGACTGGATTTTTTGAAATGATTTTTTTATCCAGATTTTCGTTTAATAACAGTTTTCATCCGGATTAAATTGTTATTTAATCCGGATGACGGATTTCATCCGGATCGAAGCACTAGTGTTGAGTAAATAAGGGAGTTTCAGAGTCTATTGTCTCAAAGTTCTGTTTTGTCATTAAATTGTAAGATGAAAAACATAATTTAATCGTTTTATAATAATGGATGAGAATAACATTGATGGGCGAGTGTTAACTAGTTCGCAATTCCAGTGTACGTTTGAGACCACCCAATATAAGCAAAATATGTTACAATAAGTTAGATAGCCTGTGATTGATAGAAATGAATAATTTTATTTTTTTTTGTTATTCCTTTAAACAAATTATTTACCAGCAAATAAATAAAAAAAAAACATTAATTTTATGATCGGTACACTTCTTGCAATTTAATAATGTAGCGTTTTTAAAGGCCAGAATCCAGCGTCGCTAAAGAAAAAAATTTTTAAACTAATCATACAATATAAAAATTTTTGTCGAACCTTGATTCCCCCAGTTTTAATCAATCGGTTACACTGTTTTCAGCCGGAGTTGCAATACAAATTTGGTCTAGCTACTTTCTAGGTAATATCACCAATTTGTCTTAAATGGCAAGTATATTATGATCAAACTTGTGTAATTAATATATGATAACACAAATTTATCGTTCAGAATACTTCGGATCTTATTCTATATCATTTTAAAAAAAAAAATTCTGGACAAATTAGCATAAAAGCCATTAAGGGATAATTAATTTGCAAAAATGATTCCCCGAAATGTATTAGTAGTTTGTACTGGTTCGGAGACGGATCATGGATTAAATATGGTTATCTTAATTCTGGCCATAATTAATGGTTTCAGTTACAATTGAATTTAAAAAATTTTAATAACTTTGGTCAAATATTTGATGCAAGTTTATTTATTATTTTTAAGAATATGGATAAACTTAAATATCAAATCTTTTCATTTTTTTATAATATAATAATAAAGAAAATAATAAAAAAATGAACATAAATAAATGATATACCAATTTAAAGCTTAATAGTTTAATTTATACATCAAGATCCTATATCAAACTTAAAGCGGTATTAATAATATTATGATCTGATTTATGCGCGAGGAAATCTTAATAACTGTAAATTACTAATGAAAGTATCAAAGAATCTAATTTCAGAAATACTTAAAAATTTTCGAAAATCATTATTACGTTTGAATTTATTTATTTATAAAATTATAAAAAAACCGATACCAAAGTCGATTCACAAAGCTTCAATAAAATGTTAATACTATAATACTAGTGATACTACTTTCACACATTTTGATAATATATAAGAGTAATGCTAATTTTAATCGGAAATTTTGCCTGTAGAGAAATAAACTAAATGGTAAATACATTTACTTAAACAATGATCATAATAAGGAGTGTGAACAAATAAATAAAATTATATAAATCCTTAATTTTATAGTCGATCAATATGACATCATGGCGGATTTATGAAATACAGTCAAACTTTTATATAACGATATGTTGGGACATATATAAAATTTTTAGAAAATATCGTTATATCAAAGTTATACCGATATTTATATGTCCTCACATATAGTGGGAAAATAAAATTTTATCGGTATATCAAGTTTTTAATAGTATATCGGTATATCGAATATCGGTATATCGAGGTTAGACTGTACCTCAAAATTTGTCCGTCATGTCAAATTAAATAAATATTTGACAGTCTTTTAGTCACCAAATTTCTATTTAAGTCCCAAATTTATTAGTGAACAGTCAAAAATGAGCTCTAAAAAATTTTTAATCTTGCGTCTAACCAATTTTTTCGTTACCTAATTTTTCCAGTGTTAAAGGCTGTCTCTTATACACATCTAGATGTGTATAAGAGACAGAAATTAGGTAAACACATGTACAACTTCTTAATAATCAAAAGGCTAAAAAAACAACACAAACGCACAGATAGCTCTTTAATACGGTATATTTTAATTTTCTTAAGATTTTGATGTAAATTAATTATTTGCAATATATGGTTATTAATTACCATATTTTCTTTATAATAATCGATGTTATAAAGTTTCAAATTTCCAATATAGTGAATAAAATTTTGATTTTGTAAAATTAACTCAAGAGTATTTTTATAAAATCATAATGTCGAGTACCCATCTCAATTTCAAGAGTACGTAAATTTATCCCATTTTCAATAAAAATTTTAAATAGTGACATATGAAATAATCCCCTAAAATTTTGTTCAAAATCATCTGTTCTGTACCAGAAAGTTATTATTTTTTTTCAGTATCAGATTCTCATAACTCCTTGAAGTTGTGTGCAAATAATAAATAAAACAGAAACAATTTCAAATTTATTTGCTACACCAATAATTGATAATATCTTAAAAAAAAATTTTTATTTATTGATTTAATGTTCATAAAATAGCCAAAATG